TGGATTTTAGAGAAAAGATTGTTTTAAAAAGGGATTTTATAGAAATTTCCAAATAGGCCCACTCATGGTAACTTAGATTTACATGTAGTCCTAATCGGTTTTCCTTTAATGATTAATGCTAAGGCATAACTTCATAGGGTAACTATTAACTTAAAAGATACACCGTAATTTCTTTTTCTTCCTTTTCGCTTTTCAGTTTCATAATTGGCTCGAATCTCCGCAGGAATCAATATAGCCTATCTGTCGTTTCATTGTTTTCTTGAATAGGCCCTATATATGAAATGCTCACCTTTTCTCAGCTATCCATTTTTTTCTGAGATAAGAAATAAGAAATAAAAATCCATTAATCTCGTGAAATCAACAATTTTTACTCTCAATAACTGTTCATTGTCGCCCCTCCCCCCCTCCCTCACGTCTCTAGCTCTCAGCCCCCTCCCCTTACCCCTCTCTCTTTCACTGACTTTCCCACTCCTAAATCTTTCTCTGTCCCACATTACTTTAACTCGAGGTTTGCGGGTGCACAACATACATTGAAGATAGTTCTGGTACATTTTGGTTGTCTCATAATGTTTATAAGATATAGAATCTAGTATGACTCGGATCTTTCTTCCTCTCCTCGCTCTCATCTCCTGATCCTCTCTTTCTCTGGTACCATCAATCGTTGTATGCCCGACAATTCTTCGGGCATCCACTTGGTCTACATCAGTAACAAAGAAAAAGAAGGAACAGATCTATATTATTATAATTTTGCTCGAAGCATGCCACAATTAGGAAGGAGCGGGTTCACAGTAAAGAAGAATCTCTTCAAAATGTTGCCTCTCAGAAGTCAGTCTTAAATCCGTAAAACGTAGGTGGTCCTGGCCATTCATTTTCTCTTCATTGTGTCTACGGATTTTCCCAATACAGCACATTATAAACGAAAACGGAATCGTAATGTTTTTCTTGCCGGGAGAGCAGCTGTAAACAACATAGTCGAATTTGGCTCCGTTGATGTTGGCAGCAGTGGATTTGTTTATGAAAAGGAACAGCGCAAACCGTATTGTTTGTATTTTGCAGTTGCCAGTAAGAAGACTGGAATTATTGTCAGTTGGATACTTATTTCTTAGAGATAGAATCTTGTAGATCTCTACTAAAACTTCTTTAAACTAGACGTCTACAGGTCACAGTGGATTAGTGTGATAGAATTAGAATACACCGAGAATCCGCGATCAACAAAAAAAACAACAACAACGGACAAGGGCTCATTTGATTTTCATTCGGATTTCTTTGACCATTCACCAACAAACAAAAAATGTCAACATTGATGTATTAGTATTACCCGTTGTTATTCAGTACTTACCCTAGTCAAAATTAACTTTGTGATTGCAGTGGTAGGTCTAGCCTCTAGATCTAAATCTAGATCTAGATCTAGATCTAGATTCACTTTAAAACTTTTGTGGTGGGGGCGGCTGTTTTCCAACGAACAAGAATGTGTGTGAACTTGACAGAGTTTCCATTCATCTTGTGTTTAGATCTAGATATCTGTAATTCATTCTTTTAATTGTATCTTTCAATGAAAATTTAGTAACTTAGAAAATCTTAGATGTTTCATTGGGAAGGAGTTCCGCAGAAGGCCGGGCAAAAATAAACTCAAAAGAGGGGATATATTTTGAGCGGGGTAATACCCTAACCCTAACCCTCGTTGTGTATAGTATGCTCAGTTTTACCTTATCACAGTAAGCGCCTGCCCTCTGCGGAACTCCTCCCTTTTACTGATCAATATTTTGTCAGTGAATCAGTGAAGTTTATCTTCACACACAGTGCCATGCTGTGCTGAAGCGTGGGTTTTTTTTTGTGAAAGGCCTTCTAATATAATTAATAATTATCTCTATTCTTGATCAAGAAATGGATTCGTGTCGTTGGCTTTTGAACTTATGGACTTGCTAATCAACTGAAAAATTTTGTGCGTAGAAGGTCTGATTGAATTGATTTTTAATTTTGTGCTTCGTCTGGAATGAGTGAACAATGATTAGCTGGTATAGACTTTCCTTTCGGAAAGTTGCTTATTCAATTCTTAGCCTCTACTTAGTTGTGACATGCTATACTGGTTTTCACCTTCTGACACGGAGACTACAAATTCGGGCTCAGGACAAGGAATTACTTGAACGGATAAAATCATTATCACTGTCAGGTAAGAATTTCTTAACTTTCTTGCTGAATATAATGTAAATTTCTGTTTTATGAATTGAGTGTATTGGAACCCTTCTTTTTTTGTTTGTTGCATGGAGTTTTGGGTGCCTGTTTTGGAAGGTCTACTGCACGATATTTCTGGTTTAGTTGACGGTCTACTGCGGGACTGGTCTGACAAACGGTTGAGTTGAAAGTCTACCCGTTACAGGCTTGGGACACATGATAAGCAGGGTCAGTTTATATTTTCTCTTTGTTGTTGTAATAACATAGGATGAAGGACTGTTTACCATAAAATGTTTTGGTGGTTTTAAGTCGTCTTTTTGGGGTTTGTTAGCTCCTCAATTTTTAGAATAAAGTAGCCCCGTTGGGTCACTTGCTGTCATGACTTAGTTGTCAATCTTATCTTTACAACTCTTTGATCTAAATGACTCTGCAAAATGAAACAATTCATCCAAGCACACACCGCAGTTGTGTAACACCACAGCCTTAGTTATATTGCCCTCAGCGCTGTTGTTACCATTGTCAATCAGGTGGGATTTGTAATGCTACGCTCTGCCTAGAATGCAGTAGAAGACCATTCATGATTGAATTGGTAGGACCTACGGTAGACCACTGTAGGTTGTAGACCTTTTTTAAACTAAACTGGCACCGGTTTTTTTCTAGAACAAAAGAAGTCAATTTTCTGCTGCTCCTCTTTCAGCTGTTGCTCCTTTTATAATCTTTCTGGCCTATTGAAGGGGACTTTGGTTGTTTTTTGAAATTCTACTACCGTCAGTTAGATCATCATCTAGGTTTTTGAATTATTGCACACAAGTACGTAAATTTATAGTCTAGTCAAATTCTTTCAACGTCGTTTGTATGAAGGACTTGCTTTTTGTTGACTTGTCGATTTACAGTGAGTGACTGTAGAGGTTAGTCAATTTTATACACACTGTTCTGAAGTGTTTTTAAATTGTTGATAGATTTGATTCTGGTCTCGCATTTTCTTTTGGGTTTTGTTAAAAACTGTTGCTGCTTGTACACTTTCAGACCATGTCAGTTTTCCACTTTGTGTATGATGTGTATGTGTGTGAATGTGTAGTTCTCAATATATGCGGATAATATTTGGGTTGTAGCACCATTTGTTGCCCTAGACAACACAAGGAACATTTTACATATATACACAATAAAACAGGTTCATCTATTTTCTGATGTTCCGGCTTTTCAAGTCTTTGCTTTACACAACCACCTGTTTAGAGTGTTCAATCTCTCTATAAAAAAATCATACTGTTGGCTGTGCATTTGTTCACTGCTTTACTTTCTTACCCTAAGAGTGTGCATACACACATATATACTTCCTCTCCTGTGCCTGATAGTGAAATCTGCGGTTGTTGAGTGTTTTTTTTCTCAAAATATTTTGATATTTATGATTGTTTTGAATCCTTTTTTTAAAGTCTTCTTAGATCGCCAAACAGCAAAATTACAAACTGCCCCATTAACTTTAATTTAAAGTTTTTTTCTTGCTGTTTTTTACTATGACTTTTCATTGTAAAAATTAAAATTTTTGTTTTAAAGAGGACAGAAATTTTCAGTATGAAGTTCTTTCTGTTCTTTTTTGTTCCTGTTGTTTCAGCTCAGATACTTTTTTTTCTCTAACTGTCCTTCTGAGATGATTATAAGTTTACCAACTTCAGTTTAGTATTTTCACCCTCTTTGCTCTTTATACAAAAAAAGTTTACAAAAAGACACACACACCCGCACACACTAGAGAGAATTAATTTGATATATATATGAGCTCCTGTAAAATGGAAATGAAATGCGCAGTGTGGAAAAATAAAAAGGTGACACTATTAGAAGTGCGCATGAAGAATTCAAATTTATAGAGGAGCTTGGGGTGTGATGTTATGGTTGAGTAGGTTTTAAAGTGATTAAAAAGGAAATTTTCTTGTTGTACTGCTTTGGGAGTGACGGCTTGTGTGATATCCTTGAGTATGGTAATGATTGCATGGTGAGACTAGATTAATTTCCATTCAAAAAGCCATCTCACTCTATCAGACACATTGTGAAGAATTGCTTGGCTGATCCCCCCACGTTCCATAATATAGGCACAGATGCTGAGCTCTATTTCTTCTTGAATTACTCCTTTTTGCCTGTTAATTCAGATTTGATTAAGTTTATAGGTAATTTTAAATGTTGCTCTTGATGCGAACTATTTTGAGGAGTGTCTGTTGCACACAGTTTACTCCTTTTTCCTTAAGTAAATTCAGAACTTTGTACAAATATAGATAATGCAAAAAAAGTCAACAAACAGGCAAATAAAAAAAAAAGAAAGAGCGGTTTATGAGCGAC